TTATTAGAAATATTTTTAAATGCAATTTTAAGGAAAATTCAATAATCGACTAAAATCTTAGTTTTAAAATTGTTTTACAAAATTTTTAAAATACGATATTGAATAGGAAAAAATAAAATTTCGGAAGCATTGGGTTTTGATAAATTTTGCAATAATACAAAGCTTAATTATATAAAATAGCCCAGGCTAATATAAAAAAAAAATTTCTATTAGTTTTATAGTTCATTTACATAATAGTCCTTCAAAGCAAAATTATAAAACTTTAATTCAAATAGAACAACAACAACAAAATATATAATAAAAAAACAAGACAATGCAATTTTTCTGGAATAGCATGGGTGAATTTTATGCCCTTTAACAGGAAAACCAAAAAATTATTCAGTGTCTTACGAGGTATAATAAAAAAATTTTCAATCCCGAAACTATTGCGAATTTAAAACTGGAATTTTTGCTTATCATGAGATAGCCGTATAAGAGCTAATTTCGTACATTGTAGTCGTCATTTCTATATTGATGTTTACTGTTTAAAATTTTAACGTGAATTATTTTCATGTTATTGGTAAAAGTAAATTGTAGTCTAATGTTCTATAACATGTCTATATAGTTCAATCCAATAAAATAGACACTAAAACTACCATCAACTAGCCATTATAATCGGTTTTAATTTTCTAATTAAAAATTCTTATCTAAACCATTTTTTAACCCATTAGGGACAATGATACCCAAATGGGATTAATATTATAATTATTAAAATATTTTAAAATTTTGTTTTAAAAAAAAAAATTCAGTCCTTTATGATATTTTTTATGATATTTTTGTTTAGACCAAGACAAAATTAAAGATTTTTTCGACTAAAATTGGACATTATATTAAATTTTTTAAAAGAAAATAATTTTTATTTAAATGTAATTTGTAATTTTAAGTAAAGCTATAGGAGAAAAATTTTTGAAAGAAATTTCTTATCCTTTTGTCCATTCTCATCTATTTATTTAGAAAGCATAATCGAAGGAACATCTTTCCGATTTCTATTTCATTTCAAATATTTTATAACCTTTGATCATATAAAAAATATTGATATATTATGTACACATGTGTACATATCTATACATACAACCTTTTTCGAATTTTACATTATATAAATTTCAATTTACTTAAATACATTCACATATACATACAATATGTATACTATGTTTTGGGATACAAAAACTTATTACGAGTATATAGGGTAACGCATATATTTAACTGTTATACATATATGAAGAAAAATATTAAGGACACAAAAATCCATAATAATATATTTGAATTTAAATAAAGTAACAATACAAATATAATAATATAAAAAGGAAGAAAGGCAAAAAAAGAAAAAAGAGAGAAAAACAAAAATAATATGTTTATCTTCGGAATATAACACTTTTGAATAAGGAATTTTATAATCTTGACATAGTAAAATTTACGGCTAAGTTTTTTTTTTCTTAAAAAATTTTTACACTTCAAAAAATGGCAAAACAAAAAAACAAGGAAAGAGGAAATAGGAGGATTTGCTTTTATTTTTTTGGGTTCCTTTTGAATCCTTTTAATACATGAATTTAAAGAAAAGTTTTCAAAAAAGATTTAAGAATCCCCAAAAAATCACAAAAACAAAAAAACAAAAATAATAAAATTAAAATAGAAGGAACGGAAATTCTGAAGAAGAAAATCTCTTTTTTTTTTTTAATAAATTTTAGTAGAAAGGTATATCCTGTAAAAAGGATTTAAAAAAAAGGGAACATTTTTATTTTTTTTTGTTTTTGTAAAATGAAAAGAAATTTAAAGAAAATTTCTGTTAAAAATTTAAATCTCTTCAATATGGGATTTACTTGGAATTTAAATTTCAAGGTCTTTTTAATTTCCCCCATTTTTTAATTTTTCATTTTTTAATACTTACTTTAACATATTAAAGAATTACATAAGAGTATTAAATGTAAATATAATTTGTGTTATTAAAAATAAAAAGATTTTTTTCTTTTTCTCTAAAAATAGCCATTTTTTATTATTAAAGAATCATAGAATGGAAGATTTTGTTGGAGAGAAAGAAGAAAAAATAATTTCAATAAATTTTAATCGTATTTAATTAAATATTTTATGATTTTAATATTCAAGGTTTTCATGAAAATGTTAGAAACAATTTATAATGAAAATTATTTGAAATTGTTATGCTTATGTACCAATATATATATGAAGGTATGTAAATTAATTTAGAATTTCAAAAGTTTGTAGCTCAGAGCACATCAACAAATTTATTTCAATTTAATTTTTGTATTAATCATATACTTCAGTCACAGACTGTAGTCTGAAGAAATGAATTTTTTAAAAGTAATTAAGAAAAAACTATAAGTATGTGGTAGAGACCCAAATTGCAAACTTGTTGTCATTCTACTTATTACAAGGAATTTCAGTTAAAAAAAACTATTTGTTAAAGATTATTTTACAAGCTTGTAAAAGGCATCTTTTAAAGAGCTACAAATGTCAATTTTATTAAAAAAATTTTTTTCTTCTAATAGAATTCTTAGCCAAATTTTGTTCCTCGTTAGACTTATAAATTAAAATTGACTTTACTTTGACATTTTATTTAATACTATTAAAAATCAATTCTACTTTCTATATAGACTTTCTACCAAAATTCAAAAAACTCTTAGTTTTTATCGTACCAAAGCGTCCTATAAATTTTGTTCAGTTTAAAAAATTGAATAAAGCAATTTCTAAGCCATGTTTTTTCAAATGTTGGTAAAATAATTTTGCACGAATTTAGAAATTATAGAATCTACTGTCTTTAATAAGATTTACCAGATTTTATGTATTCCAAGCCATTTTTTTTTTTTGCAAAATTTGTTAGACGCAGAACTAAACATGATGAAATTCCGTAACATGCTTAAAATTCGAATAAACCCATAGGGTTTTCAAAAATTTATGGGTCTAATTTCAGAATTCCTACAAGTCCTGAGCCCTTAAACACTTAAAGTCGAATTAAAACGAAAATTGATTTTTTTCTTATAAGTACTATGATAAAAACTCAAAGGAATTATGCTGTTTTTTAACTAAAGATATTTCACAATTTTCAGTTAAATATTACATTATCTCAGGACCATCCAATTTTTAAGGTTCCTCTACGGAATTCTTAACGTATGTGCTTGATTTTTCAATCATTCAATTGCTTAAATTCCGGAATTTAATTGTCGTAAACAAAACAATATTCCTTCCTTTTTTATGTTTGTTCAGTTCTATACTCGTATAATATCGCGCTTCCATCGAAATTGATTAAGATTGAAAATCTTTTCTTACTCACTAAATAACTTATTATATTAAAATATTTTGCACTTTGAAATTAAAGTAAGTCTAAAGAATGTTGAAACTATTGAAAATTCTTATAATCATGTTATTTTCATTTGATATTGTTATACAAAAATTCCTTTAATTTTTCAAAATTTTTTTAATAAAATTGAAAGAAGACTAACAAATCAGAATATGAAATATTTTCATTATTCAAATATTTTCAATTGATTTTTTCTTATTTGACAAGAATTGATTTGATACACAGCTCCTTTTAGATCCCATAAATTTCGTGAACATTCTTAAATGTAAAACTTACAAACTGAATAAGAAATTGCGTAAAATATTATTGATGATTAAAATAAAATATTCCGAAATCATAAAATTATCATTTTATCAACTTTGACGCTAAAATCCATTATAATCCAGAACTATGAAATGATAGATTAAATAATATTTTGATTCATCATAAATACATAAATAAATTTTATATTTAAGTATGCACATATATTATGTGGTTTAATACATGAACAAATAACATGTATATATATTCATCAAAAATGGACCATATAATAATTTCATATAGGTAATCTAAAAACCATAGCTATAAAATACAACGCATGTGGTCTATCATAGCCATTATATAAAATATATCCTTGAATACTTAAATGAATAATAAATTTCAATGATAATAGAAGACCGAAAATTTATACACATGCACAAACACTTATTTAATATTAGAGATTTTGAAAAAAGATTGAATGAATTAAAGTCACATAAGAAAATCTTTAATAAATGATAAAGTTACATAAGTTTTATTACAATTTTAATTTATTTAAAATTAAAATTTATAGAAAAAATTTGTATTTAATAGAATCATGAAAATTACATCAAAATCTCCAAATTGAAAAATAATTAAATTTTATTATTGAAAACAAAAACTCATTTCCTTTCAATTGTTATCGGTAATATGCACAGAAATGCTTAATATTGTATAAAAACCCACGTACCTTAAAAATTGCCCATTTTCAACTCATTTAGAGAGAAAATCGCTTAGAATTTTTTATAACCTTCTCTGTTTTTCGATATTGTAAATTAAAACTTACGAAAGAAAATGGCCGAACGTTTTGGAAAAATATTTAATACTTTTTTTAATATGGCAAATTTTTACTCAACCAATTTTTAAAATTTTGTAAGAAAACTCAAAATTTTAAATTTAAAAATAATTTGTATAAATGATGGTTAATAAAATTTTAATCTTGTAATGTGAAAGGCACATAACTCTGTACATTAACATTGTCTTCAACAAGGAAACATTTTCACTAAAAATTATTGCAATTAAGTATTCAATTAATTTAAAAATTCAAAATAAAGCCAATGATTTTGGTCTTACCAATTAAACAAAAGCCAGTTACCGACGATACCGCGGTAACACGAGAAAATTGCAATACAAAAAAACATTCAGACACTTTGTTGCTAATGGTTATCTGTTCAAATGACCGGAAAATTTTATTTTCCAACTTACGGTCTTAAATATAAGCACTAGTAAAATTATTACATACTTAAATATAAATTTCAAAATTAATTTATCTTCTATTTCAATTTTCTATAATATTGATTTTCTCATGGACCTCATATTATATTGATTTTACAAATAAAAAAAAAAAAACAATAAATTTAATTAAAATGCAAACCTTTTATAATATTATTATTAATCCGCTTATAATTGAACTAATTTCCATATAGAGTTCAAAATTTTTTGATAGACATTATATAATTATATAAATGTGGTATTATAATCCCATTATCCAAAGAATTTCTTCTAAGTATATATATCCAATATTCATTTTGAATGAAATTCAATAATTTTTGGAGAACGAAAAAAAAAACACTTTTATTAAAAATTTCAATTTATTATTAATATTTCTGCTTCCTGTATTTTATTTTATTATAATTAATTTTATAAATATTAAAAACACACTCATATTTATGTACATTTATGTGTGTACATACTTATATACATGTAAAATTGCAGCTATACGCAGAAAATTTAAAAAAATATTGGAAATTTCATAATTTGAAAAATTTTCACTTATTATTGAAATTTTTTTTTTTTATTTTTTAATAATGCTATTGAAATTTAATTTATTTTTTTTTTCATATTTTTTTTAAACACTTTTTCAATTAAATTTTTCTCCGTTTTTGGGCGAATTTTTTTTTTTTTGTATCCAACTAAATGTATGGCACTTTTAACATTTTATCACTCGCTTTTCTGTAGTTTTAATTAATGCATTACACTTGAAAGAAAAATAAAATATTTTAATTATTATACACAATTAATTTTAATTTTTAAAATTTTGGAATTTCTAGTAAGTAAAAATTAATATTCCATTTTTTTCGAATTTCGATTAAATATTAAATTTTTTGAAATTATTTTGAAATTAGAAAATCAAAAAATTACTAGATTTATAAAAAAAAAGTATGATTTTATTTCAAATAATTGTGCACCTTTTTAAATTATTTGAAAATTATTCTTAATTCATGAAGTCTTTTAATTTAATTGCAAATATTTGTGTACAGTTTAAAGTTCAAAATAATGAAGAATTATTCTAATTTAAGTAAATGTAAATCCTGAAATTTTTCTTAAATATTCCCTAAATATCTTATTAACGTCGGCACATACAAAATGAACAAGAAAATTGTTATTCTAAAGTACTTGTTAAATATTTTTCAGCCTTGCCGGATGTACAGTTGTTACCAGTGCAATAATATGAATTTTGTAATTCTTAATAATACAGGAAAAAAATATTAAAGTAAATTTAAAATTGTTCAATATAAACTAGAAAAAATTGAATTGAAAAATCAATAATTTATCCAAAATTTTGCAAATATTTAATTTTTTTCATTGAATGACATAAAACTCTTATAATAAAATATTAAAATTTTTAAAATGATATCATGATATTTTGAAGTGAAAAAATTTGTTCTTCAAGCATTAATTTAAATACTTTATTAAAATATTAAAAATTCTTAATTTAAAAAAAGTATAGGATTTAATTGTATTTTGAATTAAGAAATTTACTTAGTAATTTTTGGACATAAAAATTGACATGAAAATTTTTGGGAACTATCATAACCAAATCGAAATATAAAACTGTAATATTTTATTTTGTTTTAATTATTTGACTAAAATCTACTTTATTGTAAAATTCTATTTTGTTTTATTATGGGATACATTAAATCTTTACAAAAGGACGTCAGTTTAATATTCTTAAAACAAATTTGAAAAATTATATGAGCTTTATATATTTAAAATATTTTGAAATTAGAAGTTTCTGATCAAAAAAATCTCACATTTTTCAACAAGGATTTGTCAAATTCAATTAGAACAATATTGCAATTTGTATTTTATTAACAAAAATTATGACATAACAACATTAATAAGGATTTCGATAATAACATGAACAATTACTGTAATTTACTGAAATTTCGTAATATAACTATTGAATACTGAAATACTGAAATACTGAAATTTCGTAAGATAATGGAGAATAACGTATATAACAGTAACAACATACACAATACAACTTGTTTGTATGTAATATATTTTAAATTAAGTGTATAATCCTTTTAAATTTTTAATTTTTATTTTTTTTTTTCACAATCTTTTCAGTAAATTGAAATTATATTTTTATTATAGTTTTTCTAAAATAATACTGCACTACTTTCAATATATTTATGTAAATATTTTTGTATTAAATTAAATTTTCATTTTAATATTTTACAACCATTTTGTTTAAACTTTAACTAATGTAATTTACACCTCATTTTAAAAATATTGAAAATTTTTTAGAAAGAATATTATAAATATTTTAATTCTCATTATTTAAAATAATTTTAAATTGCACACTACAATTGAATTTGTATAAAATGAAATTTCTGAATAAAAAATTAAAATTTATTAAAAACCAAATATATGGGGTTGATTTTTATTTGTTTAATAATTTTTTATTTTAATTACAACTAATTAAAATTTTTGTGTATATTTTTTGTATATAAGAATATAATAATATTAATTATTCACACACAATTATACATACATATTTCTTTATTCTTCACTCTCTTTTTTTTATTTTATATGCAATAATCAAAATATTATAAAAAAAGAAGAAGAGAAAAAAACACAAAAGAAAACAATTATAATTCCTGTTTTCTTTTTTTATTTATTAAAAAATTTCAATTAATTATATTTAATATTTTTATTTATTTATTTATTTTTTTATGTTTATTGAAATTTTATTTATTTTCTTTTTTAATTTTTTTTTTTTAATACTTTTTTCTTTTATTTTTGCTGTATCAACTAAAAAAATCCGCGCCACAATTATAAAATATACGCGCCTTAAATAAATTATAACTAATAAAAAAAATATATATATATAAAGTATATATATATTAATGTGAAAAGTATTTTAAAACTGGAAAAAATTTCCTACACGTCTGTCTAAACAACATTCGAATAATTTATAACGCGGCGCAAAAGTTTATTTATCCTATATATGCACATACTTACAAAAAATAAAAAAAAATTAATATTCTCATGTATCTATAAATAACTATTTGCCATGTATGTATAATAAAATTCACTATATATAATAATAATATATATATATATATTTCACCCACCTATGTATATATTTATGTATACATAGTATCTATGTATGTAAATATGTATTGAAAACTGTTATTGTACAAAATATTCCACTTTAAGATTTTCTTTTTCTATCTGCTACTGCTGCTGCTGCTGCTTTTATTAAATTTTATTCTTTTATACAATATAAATATTTTATTTGTATATTAAATACACATACCTATACACACAATTATATTCATAAAAAAAAAATATGTATATGCACTATATATATGTATGTATATATTTATTTTTTAATTTATTTATTTATTTATTTATTTTCTCTTAATTCACAACAATATTCTCTATCACAAGAAAAAAATAAATTTTTTATTTTTTTTTTACTTTCTTTTCTTTTTATTTTTTTTTTTTTATATTTTTTTTTGTATACGGTATGTGTGTATATTTGTTTTCTTTTCGTTTATAAATTGCAGCAAAAGATACACGAACAAGAAGAATAAATTTTTTTTATATTGAATAAATTTAAAAAAAAAAAAATAACATAAAAACTACAATATAAAAAAAAAATTAAATTTCGAAAGATGAAACAAAATAAAATTTTTTTTTTTTTGTATTTTGTTTTCTACTTTAAAAGTTTTTTATTTTTGTTTTATAATTTTTTTTTTTTGTTTTAAGCCGCTCCGCCGCTGACTTCTGTCATTCTTTATAACTCTTGTCTGACTGGCTGCGCTAAAATGTGCGATTTGTATTAGTTTTTTACTTATTTTTTAAAATTTTGTTTTAATACTATATACTACATCCAATATATTGTATACCAGTTGAATTATTGAATAGCCTATACATGTATGAATGTATTTGAAAATAATGCGAATGTATATATTATGAATGTTTTGTAAGTTGTACTGTAATATCATTTGGTTTATAATTTAATACATGCTTAGCAATTTGATATTTTATTCATAACTTATTTGATAAGTTTAATGGTAAAGAAAATAAGCGATTTTTAGAATAAAAATTGTCTTTAATTTTGTTATTTATTTAATATAATTTTACCGCATAGGATGCACTTTATAATTTTTTGCGGCGGATACTTTGTAAATAATCAAGAAGTGAAGTTATTTCAGAAATCTGATAAGTATACTAATTTATACTGTACTGCGATTTGTATTTAATGTGACATATACTGCTTGGCCCTATTATAAAAAAAATAATATTATTGACATTAATATTATATTTCTTGTCAGAATTTCAACCATAAAATCCGCATCACAGTAAGGAATCTGACATTTAATAAGAAAATTCACAATATTAATTTTAAGTAAAATAAAGCACTCAGTCAAAATCTTCATGTTTCATAAGAAGCTTTTTTCTTTTCCTCAAAATTTCTTTTAATTTTTGGTGTTAAAATTCGGTACGTGTGGTATCAAAAACTTCAATATGTTGTTGCTGGCTTTTTTTTTCCAATATTCTTTTTTTTCGGTTTTTTTCTTTCTACTTATTTTTAACTTTAGTCTCATGTTTTTGTGCTGACACAAACAAACAAAACATAGAAAATGAAAAAAAAATTAAAATATAATGAGAAAAATTGTTCTCTTGTTGATGTTAAAAATAAAAAATGAAAATTGCAAAATACACTTATACATATACAATATAATATAAAATGTATTTTGATATATGTTTGAATGTATGTGAAAATAAGCACGTTGAACACGAATGAAACGAAATTAAAGAAAAGAAACAAAGATAAAAAATGCTTTTATACAATATTCATTATATTTTTGCACATACATACAAATACTCATTTCATATAATATTAAACCGTCAAACACAAATATACGTGATAATACATACTATGCATACATACATAACGTATGTATAACCCCAATATAAAAAAATTGTTCCCCAACTCCAGTCAAACATGTTTTTTTTTCTTTATATTACTCAATATACAAGTTTTCATATATAAATACACGTACAGAATACATGCCAGCCAAATACAAACAAACAAAAATAAAAAACAGAATAGGTAAAAACAGAAACCGAAAAAAAAAAAAAATTGAAAAAATAATAAATTAAATGAAAATTCAAATGAAAAATCGCAAAAAAATATAAAAACAAAACAAAAACCAGATAATGAGAAAAAAAAATATAAAACCGGCTGCTGCTGAGAAACACCAACACATGTAATTTAATAATGATAACAAAAAAAAAAAAAACAAAACAGAAAATTTAATAAATGAAAGAAAGACAAAAAAAACCGAAAAAAAAAATTGAGAAAAAGTTTTTGCGAAACAAATTTCTCTGGCAACAAAAAAAAATGTTGCTATACATTTTAAAAGTTTCATTCATTCATGCTTTTCATATGTTTTTTTCTTTTCTTTTATAGTCTAACAAAAAACAAGAAAACAAAAAAAAAAATTCAAAACAAGGAAACTTTTCATACAGACCAAAAAAAAAAAACTTTTAAATTTTCCCAATGAACCATTTTTGTACCATTAAAAGTTTTTACAAATTGTGTGACCGTTTCGATATTTTAAAATACTAAGACAATATTAATAATTAATTATGTAATCATGAAAAACTGTTTTATCATAATACATAAGTACAGTTTTATGTAGTGCAAATTTTTTAATATTACAATTATATGTTGCATATTTATAGGGGCTAATAAAATTTTAATTAGTCTATTACTACCGCATATAAAATAGTTAATTGAAATTCAATGGCAAGCACAAATTATTAATTCAATTAATTGAATATAACGAAGACTGAAACTAAAATTTAAAGAAGGTCAAACACTTAATAATAGTTAAAAATAATAGTTGAGTTTTCGAGTGGTAAAAGCAAAGTTGTCTAGAATATTTTTCGACAAGTTAGTTCTTTACAATTCAAGTGTAATTTTTAGAATAGTAAAAAGAGAAATAAAAATCGAATTTTTGGTTGTAGTGAAGTCACGCCAATTGGTATTGTCAGTCAAGTTAGGTAGAAATTGGTAACTAATTTCAAATCGTGTTATAATATATCAGTGTTCGAATCACGCTATAAAGCATTAATATGCAATAACATATATATATATACTCTTATATATAGTGATATGCAATTATTTTTATATAACATATTTTCGGAATATTATAATCTGATTTCGAGTTCACCCTATATCTAAAATATAAAGTTTGAAAACAAAATAATAATAATTTTCCTATTATGTACTTTGAAAAAGTTTTGAAAAAAATTGCAGGAAAAATGTCTCATATTCCACGGATCCAAATAATGTCATGTGATTTTAACACAAATACCAATATAAAAATTTTCTCTACACATTATAATATTTAAATATTAATCCTTTTAAACAAATACATTCGCATAGTTTTTAAATATGTAGATGTATAAATAAAATTATGGTATACGTATAGTCTTTGATTTAAAATGAAAGTTTATTTGAAGAGAGATTCTATATGCTAATATTTGTTTAAATATGGAATAGTAGATGGAAAAAAAAAAGTGTTCTAAAAATTACGCAAAATCTTCTCTCAACATAATATCTATACCAATATAATCATTTTATGTTATACATATTAAAATATGAAAATATTTGTATTGGTATAGGTACATGTATAAATTACAAGGGTAAAAGAGAATCAAAATAATTACAAAAGAATTGAAATGTTGTGGGGATATTATGAGGAGCAAATATATATATACATAGATGTTTATGTTTATGTATATGTGAATATAAAAAAAAAAGACAAAATAAAATTAAATCAAAAATTGCAGGAATTCTATAGAATTTGCTATTAAAAGATATAGGAAATATGTAGCGCCTACATATACACCTAATATACACTCATAAACATAGAAAATATATATGCACGTACGAGCACATATATATACATATAAATTGTACATATTTACATGTATGTAGGTATGCAGGTATGTTATTTTTTTTGTTTGTCAGAAAGGTTCTGTTTTTAAAGCCAACAATTTTCTTCGAAAGTAGTTCGTTGTGTTGAGTTTAATTTTTTTTTTCTTCTTTTATTTCATTTTTTTCCATAGTTTGGTTGAGTTTATTTTAGGTTTTTTTATTTTATCTTATTTTTTTGATGTTTTCATTTTTAAATAAAACGAAAAATACTTGTACAGTTTTCAAACCATAAATTTATTTTTAGATGATTTTAAAAAAAAAAATAACATGACCGACTTGGTGATGCACTTGTTGTATTACAGACCTTTTTTCTATCTATATGAATATAAAATGCAAAATTTATGAGCGTAAATTAAAATAATGTTAAATTTATTACAAAAATTTAATAAATCACTTATGATATGTAATATTAAATAAAATAGAGTGTAGTTAATTATAATAGCCAAAATGACGAAAGGGATTAATTCGTTTGTAGAATTTTTAATTTTAATAAAAATTAGTATAACACAATATTAGAAAACTTCGAATTTTCCAAATACTAATTAAATATTTTGTTTTAATCTGAAAATATCGCTACATTTTTTCCTCATTTAGATTAACACTAAATACCAAGAATGGTATTTTATAAGTGAGTGCATACAAGTGGATCATTTTTACCGACCGTATTGTGTAAACAATAGGTAGGTTATGTGATGACAACAAATTTTTTTTCTTGTGTTTATGATATAAACCTATAAAATAAGGTTCAAATGCCAAGAAATTGAATCTAGTGTATTTATGAAAAAAAAAAGTTTTAAAAAGTTCGGAATACAAAATAATCTTTATCTTCAAATCTGCGAAATTTAGGCTAGACAAACATTTCTTTTTCCGATATGTCGAATTTCAAAATATAATAAATTAAATAAACAATTGAAATATAAACTGGATTAAAAAAAATTTCTGGATTTTGTCATTTGCCAAACTTTGCCAAATAATATAAATTAGCAAAATAACTACGTTATTTATTAACTAGCTTATATAACATTGTTAATTTTTAATTATGATTCGTGATTACTATATGTATACTAAGCGAATTTATTTCGAAAGAATATTCAAAAAATTATATATACGTAAACTTCTTTTATATTTTAGAATCGATTTTGCATTTTAATTTAAATCCCAATTCTAAATTACTCTATATATACAATATAACTAATAGAGTAATTTGAACAAGCAAGCGTAGTTTTTTAATTATTAATTCAATCGATATCTTATCAAATAAAACTCACAAATAAAATACACTCATCAAATAAATAATTATTAAGACGAAATGCCTTAAAGTATGCAATTAATTACAAATAAAAAACTAAAATTTACTATTGAATTAAGAAATTATTTGCAATATTTTTATTTTTAAATTAATCGTAGTGCACATAGACATTATTTATTTTACATTGTTTTCTTTATTTCAAATTAAAATATAATCAGCTCTATCATGAAATCCACTTGTAGAATCCTACGAATTACGAACATAATTACGACGTATATAATATATACTTTTGTACATATAATATGTACGTGTGTATGTACTTTTGAATAATCGCAAATTCCTTTCGTAGAGATTATGAATCACCAATGGCAGTAACATTTTTCGGAGTATCAAAATCAGTATTTTATTTCAAATATCAAATTTTTATTTATATTTTTTTGGTTGATATTTCAGTAAATAACTTTCATACAAAAGGATATTTTTGAAAATTTAACATGACTATTCTCTTTAATTTGCTTGTTACGAGTG